CTGGGACGCAGGAGATCAAACTTGGGTCAACCACATGCAAAGCAAGTGCCTTACCCGATGTACTATCTCTCTGGACCCTCTTTTTCTTCTTGCTGAGGAGGGAACCCAAGACTTCATTGATACAAAAAGCCAAATCTTTACCACAGCTGCAATCCCTGACCCTGTCTGTAATTTTTTTTTTTTTCTATTTTGGGGCCACACCTAGCAGGGCACAGGACTTACTTCTGGCTCTGTGCTCAGGGATCACTCCTAGTGGGCTCGGGGAACCATGTGTGGTGCCAGGAATTGAACCCAGGTTCACTATACGCAAGGTAAGTATTCTACATATTGTACTATAGCATCTGATGTATATTGTTTCAAAATACGTATTGTTTTTAAAAACCCAGTATGAGAGAGAGACTTCTCAAAATTAAAGGCTAGATATGACATCATTGTTACAAAAGAGCATATACTGTCATATTATGAAATTTGAAAGTTGCTGCTAACTTGTAGGTAGATGAGATTGTGTTGACTAAACTACATTTTGGCCCAGAGAGATAGTACATACATCGGGTAGAGCCCTTGCCTTGCACAGAGCTGACTTGGGCTTAATCCCTGACACTGCATGGTCCCTTGAGCACCTCCAGGAGGTGCTCAAACAAACTCAGTCTCCTTTTTTCTTTTTTCCTTTTTTTGCTTTTTGGGCCACACCCAGCGATGCCCTGGGGTAACTCGTGGTTCTGCATTCAGGAACTCAGGAATTACTCCTGGTGGTGCTTGGGGGACCATATGGGATGCTGGGGATCGAACCCCGGTCGGCCGTGTGCAAGGCAAACACCCTATTTGCTGTGCTATCTCTCCAGACCCTCAGTGTCTCTCTCTTTCACCCTTCTTTTCTCTTTCTCTCTCTCTCTCTCTCTCTCTCTCTCTCTCTCTCTCTCTCTCTCTCTCTCTCTCTCTCTCTCTCTATGTATGTATCTGTGTGTGTATAGCCTGGATCTGCACTTAGAGATCATTCCTGGTGGGCCTAGGGGACCACATGTGGTGCCAGGAATCAAACCCAGGTTGGCTGCATGCAAAGGCAAACTCCCTACCTGTGGTACTATTGCTCTGGCCCCAGAATGGTATATTTTAACTTAGTATTTGGCATTAATATTTCCATGAAACAATTAGGTCTGCATAGATTTTTATTTTTTGTGTTTTGATTTTTTTGGCCACACTCAGCGGTGCTCAGGGGTTACCCTGTCCCTGAGCTCAGAGATCACTCCTGGTGGGTCTGGGACCATGTCAGTGCCTGGGATTGAACCTGGGCTAGCCACCTGCAAGGCAAGTGTCCTTTCTGCTATACCATTGCTCTGCCCTTATTTATTGTTTTTTTGGTCATGTCCTGCTCTGCTGGGAGGCCAGGTACTCTTCTCTTGGCATGAACCAAGCCTTGCAGTGCTTGGGAACCATGCAGTGCCAAAGGTGTAACTGGTGTCTCCTGCATACATACCAACCTTTGATCCAGTTCCCTATAGCCCTCTTTAATTGTGTAAAAATTTTTAAGCTAGGATTTTAATATTTTCAGACAACTGATCATGTTTTTATAATTTTCAGATGACTGACCCAGTCACATTAAATGTAGGCGGACATTTGTACACAACTTCTCTCACCACATTGACTAGATACCCTGATTCCATGCTTGGAGCTATGTTTGGGGGAGACTTCCCCACCGCTCGAGACCCGCAAGGCAATTATTTCATTGATCGTGATGGACCTCTTTTCCGCTACGTCCTCAACTTCTTAAGAACTTCAGAGTTGACCTTACCCCTGGATTTTAAGGAATTTGATTTGCTGAGGAAAGAAGCAGATTTTTATCAGATTGAGCCCTTGATTCAGTGTCTCAATGACCCTAAGCCTCTGTATCCTATGGATACTTTTGAAGAAGTTGTGGAGCTGTCTAGTACTCGGAAGCTCTCCAAGTACTCCAATCCAGTAGCTGTCATCATAACCCAATTAACCATCACCACCAAGGTCCATTCCTTACTAGAAGGTATCTCAAACTATTTTACGAAATGGAATAAGCACATGATGGACACCAGAGATTGCCAGGTTTCCTTTACTTTCGGACCCTGTGATTATCACCAGGAAGTATCTCTCCGGGTCCACCTGATGGAATACATTACCAAACAAGGGTTCACGATCCGCAACACCAGGGTGCATCATATGAGTGAGCGGGCCAATGAGAACACAGTGGAGCACAACTGGACTTTCTGCAGGCTGGCCCGGAAGACAGATGACTGACCTCCAAACCTGGGAGAAGTTCCTGGAAACTGATTCTCCAGGAGATGGAAGAGACTGATTTTTTTTTAAAATCACAGTGTGGGCTTTTAAAAAACAATGTATTTATTTGAAGGCATAAGGACCAGAAGGTGTGTTAGCAGACTCTTCTGTTTTGTTCTCTTCACCTGAGTATGCATGTGCCTGTTCAGAGCCTCCAGATACCTTTTTTATAAAAAGAAGTCTGAAAATCATTATGGTATATAATCTACCCTTAACTGAGCTTTTGTTTTTATTACAGTGCTAAAATGATTTCTGATTAAGTGGTCCCTAACTTAACTAGAAGGCTAAAAATGCAGAAATGAAAGAATAAACAGAATATACTCGTGATGCCTTTGGAAAAAAATCAAAACATCATCAGGGCGACCTAGTTCCAACCCAGTAAGCAGTATTGTAATATTAAAGGAAAACTTTTCAATCATTTAAAAGTACTTGTTAAGTACTGCTTTTTACAGTTATGACAACTGTTTCTTTCTATGCATATAAATCAAGCAACCAAATATCTGTAGCCATGGAAATGTCTGACTAGAAATATTTATATTGGATTCTGACTACAAAATGTCCCTCTGGTAGAAATCTTATGTTTTATACCTGGTGCAGTACAATTCCCAAGTGTACTGTCTACCAGGAAAAGAAAAAAGCCTAATAAAAATGAAATATGCAAATTAATTTTGTATTGATTATTGTTATGGGGGAAATCATATTCCTTATTGAATTTATATATCACTCTCTCAGTATATAACTGCTTATAGAGCACATTTGTACTTGATTCAAGAAGGTGGGACAGTGCAGTGTTAGTGTTAGGGTGCAGCATTAGGGTGAAGTTTACTGTGTTTTACTGTGTTGAGTCACTGGTTTGTCTAGAAGAATGCATTTATGTACACACAATTTGACAGAACTTGTTTGTTTTTTGGGCTGTGGTTCTCAGGGTTCACTCCTGTTGGCCCCCGGATGAGGATCTTACGTGATGCCAGGAATCCAGTCCTCGCTGCTGTCCAGTCACTCCAGTCCAACAGATTTTTTCAGAATAAGACCAAAGTGGAATAGGACAGATTTTTCTTCACTAGGTTAACAGTTGTTATATAGTGCAGAATATGACCAGTCAGCTTTGTATTGAGTGCAGGAACAAACATTGACTCTTTGCCCCTTTATTTTTAACGTATTATGCTGATCCACAAATATATTTTGTTTCGGAGCCACACTTGGCCATGCTTAGGGCTTACTCTGAAAAGTCAGAGTAATTCCTTTAGGAATTCCTTTAGTGATTCCTCCTGGCTGAGCTTGGGACTATATGGGGTGGCAGAGATTGAACGCAGGTCAGCCCGTGTGCAAGGCAAGCCCCATACCTGCTGTACTATCTCTCCAGACTCACAAACTTGTTTTATTAAGTTAAATTTACTTCTGGGAAGCAGTTAATTAAGTGAATAAAAGATCTGGGATATTTGGAGATGTATATATATGTATATTTCTTTCACTGTAATTTTGCATAGTGTATTTGATTTCCGGTTTTTGTTTTTGTTAATGTGGGGTAATGTTCTGTGGACATTCCCAGTGCATTGCTCCTGGGCTTGAGTGATCAGGGGTCCTCCCAGCAGTGCTTGGAGAACCAGTGCAGCCCTGCAGACAAAGCATATGCTTCTTGATTTCTGGTTTTTAGATGTTGCATTATTTAATGAAGGAAGACCTGGGCAGGTCACTCTTTCTCCTCTCTCAGAGAAGAATGAGATTCTTTGAAAGGAGAGTGAAAACACTGTCCACTTTTGCCCATGTGTTAAAATTTTTCACACTTGACCAAAAGAAAAAAAAGTTAGAAATCTGTTAATTACCCCAGTCCCGTTATTTTAAAATTAAAATCCCTTAATTAGGGGCTGGAGCAGTAGCACAGCGGGTAGGGCGTTTGCCTTGCACGCGGCCGACCCGGGTTCGATTCCCAGCATCCCATATGGTCCCCTGAGCACCGCCAGGGGTAATTCCTGAGTGCAGAGCCAGGAGTAACCCCTGTGCATCGCCCAGGTGTGATCCAAAAAGCAAAAAATAAATAAAATAAAATCCCTTAATGATATTTGCAGGATGCTATGGTTTTAGTAGATATATCAGTACGAGCTTTCCTTGCTGCCATTCTAAAGAAATGTTTTCCACTTCAAGTTGGTTAGTGGTTAGCTAAACAAAACAAAGCCCAAACAATAGTTACAAAAGGTGACAGTCCCAGACATTTAGATGTCTGCCGAGGTAATGTGAGGTAAGATGATTTGAGCTAAATAAACAATTGTGAGAGTGGGAATTTTGGCTTAAAGTTGTAGAAATTCAAAAGTTTTGAACGATTGATCATCTTTGCCAAGTGTATTGGAGAAAAGTTTGCTTTTGGTAAAATTTTACCAGATTTGACCTGGAATGAGTGTTTTTATTTGGGCAGTTGAAAATTATTTGAAAGCATGTAGTTTGCTTGTATTTGAGCCAGTCCAGTCTTTTTTTTTTTTATCATATTTCAAATAATTTTCTTCATGAAAAGTTGATTTTAAAAATTGATAATGAATTGCATTCTCAGGGGTCTATATTTTATTTAAATTTTTCCAAGCAGAGGCACTTTCGGACACGGATAGTACATATGTGTCATTTCATACTCTAGACTAAATAAATGTATGATAAAGATATAAGTGCTGTCTAATAAACATAGATCTAAAACAAAACATTAGACAAAATAGATTCTACAAATGTATAATATTATTGTCTTTTGGTTGTGGAAAAATTTAGGCATTCAAAGTTGTAGAAAGAATACTGTGGATACAGATATTCACTGACCAATTTCAATCCCCTTTGTCCTCTCATGGGTTATTTTGTCTTAAGTAAATCTCGGTATATTTCATCTGCTTCAGACTTGGTCTCTAAAGGATAATGATTCTCCTTAAAAATAGATTAAGTACATACATTAACATTTGAATGATACATCTGTGTGCCTTAGTACCCTCTTCGCATGGTGGTGGATCTTGAATGCTGTCCATCCCTTCACAACTTGGATTTCTGGCTTTGTAAGAGTGGCTTTAAATATTTCTCATAGGCAGGGTTCCCCTGTTTGTAGAAAGAAGTACATTATTAAGACAGTGTTTATGCTAGGATTAATAACTTTTACTTTCAGATTAAATTTTTAGTTTTAAAAATGTAACACTATGTAAAGTCCTAAGTTTCAAAATTATTTTTTAAATTCATATTGTGTGAACATACGGAGAAACATTTTTTCCAAAGGGCAGCTTCCTTTTCTTGTGCAGATTTTAATTGTGGATGCAGGTGGCCAATTTAAAAAACACAGCTAATTATTTGCCTTTGGAATTTAATGCAAATGACAGTTGACTTTCTGAGTTTCTTTGAAACTGAGCTTTAATCCCACAGCAAGGAGCCAGAGGTGGAATCAGATAGGTAAACAGTATCTGTCACCACAGGTTGTTTCCATTATCCTTGAGTATAATGTATTTTTTCCTTCATAGCTCTCTCTAGCCTTGTCTTTTATATTATGCTTCATTTTTGCCCAGCGAGATAGAATTGCAGACTCCTGAAGATGGTATCTATGCCTTTTATTCTCCACTGCACCACAGTACCTAGAATCATTTTTGGCATCCAGCATATGCTCAGGAAATAGTTGCTGAATGTTAAGTGGATCAATAGAAGCGTTTAACCCATCTAGATACTTTGTGGACATATTTGTGGACATATTTTCATGAGAGAATAATTGTGGAGAAATTGGATTCTTGTTTTGAAATTGTTTTGAAGTCCCCATTGCCTTCTTCACTGCTTGTATTGGTATTGGTAGGGATCACTTAGGAGTTTGCCCTGGGAGGAGGAACAACAGCTTTCTGCAGCTAATTTTGGAGGAATTGACTTGAAATAGCATGAAATCAGGAGAAGAAAAATCAACACCAAAAAGCAGATGCCATGGGCAGAATAAAGCACGAGAGAGTGAGGGCATCATCTCATAGGTAAAACTCACCACTGAACCTGCCTATAGAGAAGACTGTCTTGTGTTCTGAGTCATTCGATTTTGCATAGCACTTTGAGTAGAAATACAGTTATGAAATATAGACTCATTAGTTCTTTTGTGTCTACACAAGGCATATTTCAGTAGAGCTGTTTTATTTGAAATGCCTGCACAGTGCCTCCCTGTAGTACAAATGAGGAAACATGTCTCAGTGCAGCTTTGAGATAATGTGCAGCAGATTAGAAAAATATACTTTAAAAGTGCTATTTTTGATGGTCTCTTTAAGGAGCCAAAAATGTAAGATTTATGTGACTGTATTTTAAGTTAACCATGTGTCATTTTAACTGCCTGGAAGCAGTTCTCTAAACCTCACATTCCTCTCTTACTGCGCACAGGAGTCACGTTGGTGTACCTCTCTCTGCTGTGACCTGTGGCCGGAGTCTGGTGCAGAATTATTTGCATCAGGTCCTTTGGTCTTACTGTATGGGTAATCATGTGCATTTATTTCATCAATAAAGAAAGTGCCTGCCATGACAGATCAGGAGTTGAGAAGAACAGTTCTTAGTTGGCAGAAGAGAAGTGAATGGAATAAAAGGCATCAACAATTTGCCAGATATGCTGCTGGTGGCAAGTCATGCCCTGAATTAGAGAAGCCGGCCCCTTATCCAATCTAGGGTTTGTCTGTTTTTTTGGGGGGTTTTATTTGTTTTTAATTTTTTGGTGGTGGTGGGGGGAGGCCACACCCAGCGATGCTCAGGGGTTACTGCTGGCTCTGCACTCATGAATGACTCGTGGTGGTGCTTTGGGAAGTATATGCAGGATGTTGGAGACTGAACCCCAGTCAGCTCTGTGCAAGGCAAACACCCTAGCCGCTGTACTATTGTTCCAGCCCCACCCACCAGGGGTTTGTCTTTTTAAAAGGATTTGTGATATTAGTGAGATGGGGAATCAATCAGAAGATTTCTTTGAGCAGTTAGTGAAAGAGAAAAAGGAATATTGGAGCTATATGTGTTAGCATTTCCTGACAGCTGCTAGCAGGGTTTTTCTCTGGAGCATTCAAGTGTATGTATTTATCTTTAGATTAAGAACCTTATTTGCAGTGGCGGATTGTTGTCTTTTTATGTGAGGATTTAAATGTCAGAAAGCTGATTATTAGAAAAAACACTAGAAGTAGCCTAATTGTACTAAGCAGTAAATGTAGTTTTGGGTCACACCCAGCAGTGCTGGGACTGTGTGGTGCTGGAGACCCTAGTCCTGGCTTGGTTTCCTGGGAATATGTAGTCCAGGGATTAAACCGGGGCCTCTTGCATGCAAAACACACAATCCTGGGCCAGAGAGAGAGGACAGGGGGTAGGGTGCTTGCCTTGCACATGGCCGACCTGGGTTTGATTCTCGGAATCCCATATGGTCCCCAGGCACTGCCAGGAGTAATTCGTGAGTACAGAGCCAACAGTAACCCCTGGGTATTGCTGGGTGTGGCCCAAAAACTTAAAAACAAAAACATGCAGTCCTGCCCTTGAGCTATGTCCCCAATCCTATCATACCATCTATTGATTTATTGTTTTTGGGGTCCATGTTCAGGATTTACTCCCTACAAGTGTTGGCTCTGGCTCAGGGATCACTTCTGGCTGGGTTCAGGGGCCGACATGCGGAACATAGCAGTTTGTTCAGGTCTGTACAAGACAAGTGCCTTACCCGCTGTACTGTCTCTTTTGACCTTCTTTTAAAGAAAAAAAAAAAAAATATATATATATATATTTTTTTTTTTTTGTGGTGGGTAGGGCGTGCTTGTCTTGCACACAGCGGACCCAAGTTTGATGCCTGCCACCATGTGTGGTTCCTGGAGCCCTGCCAGGAGCGACCTCTGAACACAGAAATGTATATGTGTGTGTGTTTTGGTTGCTGTTGTGGAGGGGGAGGTGATTCCTTGGTGCTTTGGAGGCCATGTGCTTCCAGGGGATGGATTCATGTACCACACATGTAAGGCATGTGAACCACCACTTGATTCGTATCCCCAACCCTGTATCAAACCTTTAGATCAGTTTTCCATTTTTGCCTGTTGAATTATAAGGACAGCTTTCTAGAGCTAGGGAATAGCAAAACAGGTTGGTCTTCTGTTGTTCAACCATCTTGGGGAGAGAGGGTAGCTCATCAGGCTGTAACTCTGGATAATGTTAATTTAAGCAGTGACGTAGGACAGGATATAAAATGTTAAAAGCAAGTCTAACACCATGTTAAGTGTGAATAAAAGCCACAGAGTTGCCAATTTAATGTGGTGTTAAGACACCTTTTCTGCAATTTGACCTAAGTGGTTAAAAAAAAAAAAGTATGCTTCAGAGTCTGAATAACAATATGGTTGCACTACAAAACTTCTTTTTTTTTTTTTACTATAAAACTTTAAAAAATGATATTACATGTGGAAATCATCTGCCCCACAGGTAGGGGGAGGGTGTGGGATGGGGGTATACTGGGTTGTTGGGGGTGGAGAATGGGCACTGGTGAAGGTACGGGTGTTTCATTGTATGACCGAGACTTAAACCTGAAAGCTTTGTAACTGCTTTCACGGTGATTCAATAAATAAAATTATAAAAAATGAAAAAAAATTATATTACAGCAGGCAGGGCGCTTGCCTTGTACATGGCCAACCTGGATTTAATCACAGGGCACTCCATATGGTCCCTTTGAAGCCTTCCAGGAGTGATCTCTGAGCACTACTAGGTGTGATCCATAACAGTTTAAAAACTTTGTACATGAACAACTTTTTGTATCTCATAGTAATTCAGTTTAAAAAATGTTTGTACCTATATTGTATGAGGTAGCTTTGCTTTAATCAATTATTTCTATTAAATACTGATTCCCAGAATTTAAATTCTGTTAAATTCTAACTACAGAGTATATGTATTCATTCCAGTTAAGATCCTCATCGGCATTCGTAACTTTCCCTCGTGGGGGTCATAGCAGCATCTGAGATGCTGACCCCGGCCATGGTGCTGGCCCCGATTGTTAGGATTTATGCCTTCTCCCTCTGTCAGTGAAACAGAGTCGTGGTATTCCCTCCTGGAACAGCTAATTAACTTTTTGCTGCAACCCTTTTAATTGTCAATTATATTGCTTTACTAGGCCACAGATGGAAGAAGCCTATTTTGTTTCTGCTATTGTGTTTGAGTGAAGAGGAAAGAGGGATCTCTACCAGGCAATTATATTTAAGAGCCATCCCTCAAGCTTCCTCATCACCTCTGAATGTCCATGTTTTGTTTTGTTTTGTCTTTTGCACCCTACCCCCTGTACTATTTCTCTGGACCCTGAACACTCATTCTTATCAACACAAAACCTAGAGTTAAGAAGTAGATGGCTAAATCACAATGAGTTATGGTCTTTCTTGTGTTGCTTGAAAGCCAGTTTTTCATTGTGTATGTTTGACACATGTCAAACCATAATTTAGAGCTTGGGCCATCCTAATTCCATCTGCCAAATTCAGAGTGGTATATTTTGCTGATATAGACCAGATTGGATGGGGGTGGGGGGGCAGGGGGCCCTTGGGCCCTGCCCAGCAATGCTCACGAGGATAGGTGGTGCGGAGGAATTGAATTTTGTCCATGTACAAGGCAAGCACGGAACCACTGTGCTGTCTCTCTAATCCTCTCAAAATATTTTAAACAGACATACCATGTCTACTGATTTCAAATGTAATGGGAATCAATTAAAATGGGGGAAATGGAGATGCAATTTTTGGCTTGTTCTCTGCATATATATATATATATATATATGTATGTATATGTATTTTTGGCCACACCAGGCAGTGCTCAGGGGTTTCTTTCTCAGAAATCACTCCTCGCAGTACTTGGGGGGACCATACGGGGTGCCAGGGATTAAACACAGGTTGTCCTAGTGTTCAATGTAGGGTACAAGACGAGCACCCTAATTGCTGTCCTATCTCTCCAGCCCCCTCTGCATGTAATTCGTAGTGTGGTGTTCTCAACTACCTGAGTGTTGGTGGGTGACTTCTGAGCCCACTGGAACAAACGTTCATAGACATTTCCATCGTAACAGCCAAGTGCTGAGTTTAAACTCTGATCCGTGAAGTCAAACGCATCAGTTAACAAGATGGCATCCTTCCTGTGAGAGAAAACAGTTTGTATTTTACTCACTTTTTATTTTTCAACACCCCTTCCCCTCCCCCCCCCCCCCCCACACACATACCCCATACCACCACCACCATTGTTGCAGACAGCTGTGGTACTTGCTGGGGGGGTCACACACCAGGTTGTGGTACTCACTCGCTGTCGTCCTCCCTGAGGCTCATTTAGTTATAGGATTAAACCTTTTAGTTATAGGGTTTGCATGTGTGCGCCCCAAAGGGCTGCATTCTCAGTCCAGACACACGAGTTCTGCTTCCTGGGGCTCCTGCACATGATGCCAGGGCTGCATACTTCCTGGCTGTGTGCTTACATGTCGCACGTCTCCTCTGGTTGCCGTGCTGGCAGGGGTTGGGGGCTGGGGCGTGGGGAGCGGGCCAAGGCCTGGCACACTCCTTGTGACACCTGGCTGTGTGAGTTGCTTACACACCTCTGACTGCAGTTGAGCCAGAAGCTGCATGAGGAAGTGTCGGACAGCAGAGCTGGCAGGACTGTGTTCGGTGTGTCGGAATCACAGTGGATTCGGACCCTAACTCACGGCTGTGTTGCTCCTCTGGTCCCAGCATTTGTAATTCAGATCTTTCATGAATCTAATCTGAGATGGTTAATAACGTCTTTCTCTCTGTGTGTGTGTGCGCGTGTGCGCATGTGCAGTGTATATGCATGTGTGTGTGTGTGTGGGTGGTGTGTGTGTGTGTGCGCTAGGGATCAAACTCGGGCTCACACCTGTGAAGCAAGTGCTCCACAGATGAGCACGATCACTGATCCTTATGAACTTTTAAAAAGGCTTTTGGGGGCTGGAGTGATAACACAGTGGGAAAGGCATTTGGCTTGGATGCAGCCAACCTGGGTTCAATCCCTGTGACCACATAACAGTCCCCAGACCCCACCAGAAGTGAGGACCCCTTCTGGTGCAGAGCCAGGAGTAAGCTCTGAGCATTGCCGGGGTGCCCCTCCCAAAAAAACAAAAACACCCCAAACCCAAAAAAACCCAAACAAATAAAAATACCCAAATAACAAAGAACAGTCTTCAGTGGCTTGAGAGAGAGAGAGTACAGCAGGCAGGGCACTTGCCTTGTGCAGTTCCCGACATCACATATGGTTCCCTGAGCCCCATCAGGAGTGACCCCTGAGCACCTCCTGGTGTGGCCCAAACCAAATATAAGTAAATAAAAGGTTTCTGTTTTTTGGGGGCTGGAGCGATAGCACAGCAGGTAGGGTGTTTGCCTTGCACACAGCCAACATGGCCGACACAGGTTCCATTCCCGGCATCCCATATGGTCCCCTGAGCACAGCCAGGAGTGATTCCTGAGTGCATGAGCCAGGAGTAACCCCTGAGCATCGCCGGGTGTGACCCAAAAAGCAAAAAAAAAAAAAAAAGTTTCTGTTTTTTGATCAGTTACATATGCATAGCATAAAAGGTGAAGTCATTTTAGAGGCTTTTTCATTTAACATGAAAAGCCTCTAAAATGACTTCTTATATCCATTTTTTCCCTACCCCCATCATTTTTACCCCCCCCTAGTATTTTTTTGCTCACCATAAATAAACGCCATAATATTTAGAGATAGAATAGAATGACTCGTGTGCATTTTGAATATTTCATTCAGACTCATTCATAGTGCTACTTTTTGGTTGGTTGTCCAGGCTTGGGGATTCTCTACCGTCTCTCTATTACAGAAGACAGGATTTATTTTTGGTCCTCTCTCCTCACCTGGACCCAGCATCCTGCACCCCACCCCTGTCCCGGCGCTTCTTCCCCTTGGCTTTTCTGCTTCCTGATACGGTTTTGGCTGGGCTAATGGCACTCACACCATCCTGACATTATGACTGTATGTATCCTGTCCATTATGACTATATATCCTGTTAATAGCTGAGCCAGGTTCCCACCGCATCTCATTACGGTCATCTACTTCGAGGCTCACTCTTTCTGTCTCCCACACTCGGCCATAAATTCTCAGAGATTTCGCCATGTATGTGGCTGTTCGTTGAAAACATCGTCTCATAGTTCCCCAAGTCTTCTCCCGCATCGACCTAGATCTGTGTCCTCCCTTTGTTATTCTTTGCCAAGTGCAGATGTGGATGTGTCCTCATCGCCTGCAACCTCTCCGTAATATCTGCCATGTTGTATTTATTGTCTCCTGCCTTTTTAGTTTACTCCCTCTATATTCTGATTTTTGTTTTGTTTTGGGCTTTTTTGGGTCACACGAGTGGTGCCCGGGACTCTGAGCCAGGCTGTGGGGCGGGTGAGAGCCCTCCCCACCCCAAGGGACCCAGTCCCGGCAGCCGACCTCCACTACCCAACCACTGCCATGCCCCAGGCCGCTTTCCAGACACATTATAAGACACTTCCTACCCATTTTCCACTATTACTACACCATATCTGATAGGGTTCAGACAGTAGGCAACAAATCATAGAGAAAAATATATAAATATTTTTATATTTATATATTTGTCACTGTCACTGTCCTCCCGTTGATCGTCAATTTGCTCGAGCGGGCCCAGTAACGTCTCCATCATGAGACTTGTTGTTACTGTGTTTGGCATATCGAATACGTCACGGGGAGCTTGCCAGGCTCTGCCGTGCGGCGAGATACTCTCGGTAGCTGGCTGGGCTCTCCGAGAGGGGCGGAGGAATAGAACTCGGGTTGGCCATGTTGGCTGCGTGCAAGGCAAACGTCCTACCGCTGTGCTATCACTCCATAAATTGAGCCCGGCAAGCTACCGAGAGTATTCGATATGCCAGACACAGTAACAACAAAGTCTCCAATGGAGACGTTACTGGGCCCGCTCGAGCAAATCGACGAAATATATATAATACATTTATATATATATTATATTATATCTCCTCTTGGAGAGCCCGGCAAGCTACCGAGAGTATCCCGCACACACAGGCAGAGCCTGGCAAGCTCCCTGTGGCATATTTGATATGCCAAATACAGTAACAACAACAGGTCTCATTCCCCTGACCCTGAAAGAGGCTCCATTCGTTGGGAAAAGACAAGTAAGAAGAGGCTGCTAAAATCTCAGGGCTGGGAGGAATAGAGACATTACTGGCGCCCACTGGAGTAATTCAATGATCAACGGGATGACAGTGATAAAGTGATACGGGTGGTGCCCAGGGGCTCCTCCTGCCTCTGCTCAGGGCTCTCCCCTGGTGGTGCTCCGGGGATCATATGCAGAGCCAACAGTCAAGCAGCAGTCAGCCACACTCAGGGCAGTGCCTTGTGCCTTCTATTGCCTCTCCAGCTCTCAGTGTTCTGATTTTTATAATTCTTTTCCCCCTTTTCAAGTAATTGTTTTAGCTAATTGAATGAAATATTAAAAAGCACTGCTTGCTTCCCTTTTTAGGAAAATATGTAAAAGAATATGCAATTTTCACTTGTTAGCTCTCATTTCATAAGGCATTTGAGGTGACTTGGATACTATTTTAATCTTTGCTGGATGTCCCTTTATCCTCATTCTGAAGTGCTTTTCAGAGAGAGCTGTTTATAGTTTTCTGACCCTACTGACATGTTCCAGTTTAATTTCCCTCATCCTTCTGTGATCTCTTTACCTAGCTGTAAATCATGACCCATTATATTTGCTCTCTTAAAAATCTATTCAAGGGGCTGGAGTGATAGCACAGCAGGTAGGGGCATTTGCCTTGCACGTGGCCAACCCGGGTTCGATTCCCAGCATCACCGCCAGGAGTAATTCCTGAGTGCAGAGCCAGGAGTAAACTCTGTGCATCGCCAGGTGTGATCCAAAAAAAGCAAAAAAAAAAAAAAACCAAACCTATTCAACGGGGAGGGGTGGGGAGGAGAGAGAGAGAGAGAGAGAGAGAGAGAGAGAGAGAGAGAGAGAGAGAGAGAGAGAACAGTAGGCAAGGTGCTTACCTTGCATGCAGCCAACCTGGGTTCAATCCCTAGCACCCCATATGTCCCCCAGAGCCAGGAGTGAGCCCCAAGCACAGCCAGGTGTGGCCTACATCTGTATCTTCTATGTATCTATCTAATCTATTTATTCAACACATTTTCTTGCTTTGTGATACTTGCTTAGAAAAACTGCATCCCTCATTATCGTCAATTTTCTACCACCTCTGTAACTATATGGATAAAGAAAAATCAACACTGCTGTAATAAGGAATCAAGTGGACTTTATTGCTGCCTAGCAATCATAGTAAATTACTCATAATGAATTCTTTCATTCCCTTAGGTGATTACTACACATTTTCCCTTCCATCCTCAAATCGACAGTGTCTGCCTCTCTATCTCTCTTACCTAGATGATTTTGCATGCTGCAAATGATTTTACATTTGTTTCACTGGTGAGGGAGAAGCAGTAAGAGCATTTCTGGAAGTTCCTACTTATGGATTTATACAGACAGTGATTTCAAGTCTCTGTGGTACAGGAGAACCGTCTGGGTCCTGGCTCAGACCAACCCCTCCTTTGCTAAGTATCTTCTTTTCTTGCCTCTTGGAAATAGTGTTTTAGAAATTCCGCCTTTTCTTTACAATATCAGAATTCACTCAGCTGAAGTATTTTCACGAATATACAGACATGCTCTCATTTCTTTCACTTTTTTGTTTTTGGACGACACCCATCACTGCTGAGGGCTTCCCCCCCGCCCCCCCCCCCCCCCCCCCCCCGCCCAGCTCTGAGCTCAGCGGCTATGCCAGCAGGAACCTTAACCTTTATTCTATCTCTTAGCCCTCATTTCTTTCATTTTATAAAGAAGCCTTTGACCCAATCAAGTTCCTTCTCCATCTATGCTGTATCTTAGCTCCCGCTTATGACAAAACGCCTGGAAAATGTTATGCTTGTGTGTGCATGCTATTTCTAGGGCTTCTGCTGTTCTCCTATATTGGATCTGTTCAGGTTTTCACTCCCACCAGACCACTGAAATAACTCATGTCAAGGTCACCTCCTCAGCATGTTTGGAGGGTCCCAGCTCGCAGTGGTTGGGCCTCTTCCTACACTCCTGTGATATACTTCTCAGTGCTTTAAATACTAACCATATGCCAATGACTTCCAAATTTATCTTTCCAGTCTCACCTGCTTTACTAACATCCTACTTTCTAACAGTTTTTTTTTTTTAACTTAATGTGCTCAACACCAAACTCCTGATTTCTAAACATTTTCCTTTCTCTCTTGCCCACACCTGGCCTTCCTCCATCTTTCCCTTTGATATTCAATGGCAGTTCTGTTCTGGCCCAAAACTTGAATTTGCTGGCTCGTGCGCTCACTCCCTTTCTCTCTCCTCCCTCCCTCTTTCTCTTCTCTCTCTCCTCTCTTTCTCTATCACCTGGCGGTACTCAAGGCTTACTCCTGGCTTACTCTGTGTGCAGGGATCACTTCTCGCAAGGCTTGGGGGGGGCCATGTGGGGTGTCTGGGATGGAACCCCAACTGGCTACGTGCAAGGCAAGGGCTCCACTTGCCGTCCCTTGTCTGATCCCCTGAACTTGCTGTCTTTTATGTTCCATGGCTAATCTGTCAGGAAATCCTGTTCTAATTTCAAAATTCCTCTGAACTTGAAGGGCCAAAGAGATAGCACAAAGGTTAAGGCACTTGCTTTGCATGTGGTCAACCCTGGCTCAGTCCCCAGCATCGTAAATAGTTCTCTGAGCACCAGCAGGAGTGATTCCTGAGCACACGGCCAGGAAAGCCCTGGAACACTGCCTGGGACGACCCCCAAATCAAAACAACCCCCACCCCCGGACCATATTTTTTTCTTCATGAAATAAGTATTCATTTTTTATAAATAAAAATAAATTTTTGAAAACGGAATTTTCATACGTGGACTTAGGCTCTCCGTCAGCATTGGAAGGAGCTTTCACAGGATGTAATGATGTTTCCTCGGCTTTACTAAGTCGAGGCTTTACTAATCCCTCTACTTTTTTTTTCCAATTTGGGGGTCAGGGGGTTGGACCACAGCTGGGCAGTGCTCATGGTCTCTTCCTGGCTGTGTCCAGTAGTGCCCTGGCTGTGCGAACATCTGTAGTGTCGGGGATTTGAACTCGGAACATGGCAGCCACAGCTGTGTGGGAGGCAAGTGCCTTTTATCCTGTATTCTCTCTCCTGCCCTATTTCTCATTTTCATGTTACTTCTCATATTTTCTCTTGTGTGTTTTGTCTTTTTAAAAATCCTCTTATTGATGTTTTATTGATTTTTGGTTTTGATTTTGGGGCCACACCTGGCGGGGTGCTCAGGACTTACTCCTGACTCTGTGCTCAAGGACCACTTCTGGCAGACTTGTGGTGCCGGGGATCGAACCTGGGTTGCCTTAGTGCAAGGCAGAGGCCCTGCCCCCATATACCACCCCCACACCTCTTGTTGATATTTTAATAGTTGTTTTCCCTTCTCTCTCTGCTTTCATGCCACACTCAGCAGTGCTCAGGGGCAGTTCTTGGCTCTGCTCGGGGGTGGCCCTGACAGTGAATTGAGCTACTTTCGGCTGCATGTTTTAACCCTTGTCACTGTCTCTCTGGTCCCTTAACAGAGTTTCAAAAAAGAGGGAGCAAAAGTGATAAATGCATACATTCAGTCTCATTTTTACGTGAAAATCTCTGCAGTGAGATTTTATGATCATTTATAGCTGCTTGGGTCTGTTAATTACCATTACCTAGAGAACTGTCACATCATAAAAGCCTTCATTTATCATTTCTATCTCAGGGTGATCGTGAATAATCAAGGCAGGATATTGTGATAACCATTTAAAGCTCCGAGTCTGCTACACACCTAATTGCCTTGCAGCAGTGGCAAGGTTACTTAGAAACCATAATGTGAGTGAGTCAATTTATGGGGCTCATGCATGCAGAAGCTGTCCATTTGTGTCAGTGCGATCTGTCTTGTCTTGAATTGTAAGTCTCTGGTGCCAGGCTAAGCACTAAAGATGCGGCCACAGATTAAAAATCAGGCGCGTGAGTTGTTAAGGTAATCTCTTCGTGTTTCATCATTACTGACAATCAGGGCTAGAACATCATTGTCTTTATGTGCTTTTAAATGCCAAGTGTTTCAGAAAGGTAGACGTACTTAGGTTTTTAACCGTGAAATATTCAATTATGCTATTAACAAGTTTCTACCACTGAGTTTTCTATATCAGGGAAAGTTTAATACCTGAAGCATAATCGTGTTCTTGTCAGTTTTTGATGATGCGATTATGTTAACATGAGTTGATCATCAACTATATGTTAGGTGTTTTAAATATAGTCATCAATGACATTTTTTTGTGTTGTGTGGGGTATTGTTTGTTTGGGGGCCACCCCTGGCCATGCTTGGGAGTATCCCCTGAGCACCACCAGGTGTGGGCTGCGTGCCCCTATCCACCCAAAAAAGCTCTGCACTCAGGAATCACTCCTGGTAGGGCTGAGGGGTGCTGGGGATTGAACCTGGGTCAGCTACGTGCAAGACAGGCACCCTACCTGCCGCTGTACTATCTCTCTAGCCTCCACTGCTGACCCTGTCCCTGATACCAAAAGTGGTCCCCTGATCACTGCCAAGTACCCTTCCTGAGCATCACTGGATGTGGCCCCCAAAAATGCCTTCCAAATTTCATTAATATATTACTGATCTGTAGAATGCTTCATCTTTTGTATATACCTTAGAAGCTATTCTTGTTTCCTTGGCATTGTTGAAGAGTTCAACTGAGGTAGCTAGATAACTTAATTCTCTTTTTTGGGAGGTTGGGGGAAGCCCACCTAGCAGGGCTCAGGATTTACTTCTGGTTCTGGCTGCACTCAGGGATCGCTTCTGGTGCTGCTCAGGGAACCATATGGGATGCTGGATTCAAACCCAGGTCATTGGTGTGCAAGACAAGTGCCCTACCTCCTGTATTAGTGCTCCAGGACTCAAGGTTTTGGCATTTAATGGAACAGGCGAGGATCCTGAGTAATAATAGCACAGCGATCTAGAGCACCTGCGAGACGAGTGCAGCTGTGAGTTTAAAACCCCAGTGTCCCACATGTGTTGAACATTCAGGTCCTGGCAGCTCTGTCGCTTAAGCCTGGCAGGTATGTATGTGAACACCATAATTATGGGCAAAGTGAGCGCTGCAGCTGAAAAGAGGTGTGAACACACCCTGGGCAGGTAGAACACACCAAGTCCAGGTATGAGCACTTGTAGGGACCCTGGGAGCACCACAAGCATAACCTGTGCCTCCACTGAGAAAAAGAGAGGGCTCACTCGGCCACTCACCGAATGAGACGGAGCAGGTCCATGTAGGCTGTTCGCACCATGTGTACCTGGACCCCAGATAGGAAGCCATCGTGGAGGAAGTCACCCGTGTTGGTCAGAATGCCTTGTAAGGCGTGGAGGTCACACAGGCGTTTGAGTGCCTGCCGAATTGCTGGTTCATTTTCTAGTTTCTCCAGAGCTTCTACAAAACTCTTCACAGAGATATAGTAGCAGTGCGCCTACAGAGACACAAAGGTGCATTAGTCTCTGACTCCTATTTAACTTCTTTCATTTTTGGGCTATACACACACTCTGTGCTCAGGTCCGCAGGGGCTGTGGAATGCTGGGGTCGAACCCAGGCCTCTGGCCTGCAAATCATGCACTCAGCCCATATAGGCCTCACTTTGGCCTCGGTTCCTGATTTCTGCTAGATAAGCTTTCTGCTCCATGTGTTCACTAGCAGTCTGACAACGTCTCTGAGCCTTTTAGATGCAAGAGTGCGCGCATGCACACAACACACACACACACACACACACACACACACACACACACACAGAGGCCCATACTGTTTCCTCATTTTTGTCTGGGATAGTTTCCCGGCAAGCTACGCAGAGTTTCTCGCCCGCACGGCAAAGCCTGGCAAGCAACCTGTTATGTATTCGATATGCCAAACACAGTAACAAGTATCACAATGTAGACGCTACTGGGCCCGCTCGGGCAAATCGATGAACAACGGGAGGACAGTGACAGGGACAGTTTCAAATAAGTTTGGTAGCCGACAGGAGAATGCAGGAGCGTTGAAGGCTGTCCTGGGGACAGTGGAGAAAACAGCTGTTCGTTACCAACCACATTCAAGGGAGTGAGAAAGTCGGGGTTCAAGATGTTCATGATGTAACCTTGAGGGGCCGGAGTGATAGTACAGTGGGTCTGGTGTTTGCCTTGCGTATGGCCAACCCAGGTTCAATCCCAGAGAGTCGCTATAGCCCTTTAGGAGTGAATATGATGTAGGCAGGTAGACAGGGAAAGGCCCTTGGCAATGAAACTTCGGTCAACAAAGCTTCTGGGAAGGAAAATTTTAAGACTATCCACCTTGTGGATATAGAAAACAAAGACCCGATAAAACCACTGACAGACCCTGAGGAGACTGGACCCCTCCCCATAAAGTTTCTCTCCTTGGAAATCCTCGGACCTCTCCTTTAATCTGATTAACTTCAGTGATTCAGCCCAGAGAAGACTCTAGAACTTCCAGATCAAGACAACCCTCGAAGAGCCTTGCAAAACACCTTGAACAAAGGAAGGGCACGCATATGCTGCCTGAGCCCATGTGCTGCTTGTGCTCTCGTGGGCACATGAGGTGCCGAGCACATGCGGTGCCCGGGCAAATGTGTTGCCCGCATCTCCCGTCTTGCGATGTGTACTTTTATGTTTTCCTATCTAACGCTGGGATGTGTGTAGGGGCTCTCTCCACCCTTGGAAAAGCCCGCGTTCTCTCTTGAGCGCGTTACTCTGTCTCTTACTCTCCACTCTCTCCCACTTTTCTCTTCCTCCTTCCCTTCAAAGACCCTCCAGATAAAATCTGTTTACTTCAGTGCTTGTCTACTCCTGAAATTCTTTTCTGCGAGCGAGACAAGAACCCTGAAAGCCCTGGGTAAGGCCTGGGACTGGTTTCTCCTTTCCTGCAAAGAGCAAATCCTCGCTCCAGCCTGAGTTCATGGCTCCCTGAGAAATTGGGCGGTGGGGATCGACTCTGGTGACTGGCAGACCAAGTGGACTTCGGAAGTGGCCTGACAGCCACCTTGTGGGGCTGGCGGGGCTCAGGCCCGTGCCGAGCAGAGGCTCATTGCAGACTTTACCAGTCCTAGTCTTCCCAGTGGGTCCTGGGTGGCAGAGGCGGAGTGGGAGAAGGTTAACTCTCCTTCCCTCCTCCTGACTCACCTGAGCCACCCGTGGGGTCCACCGACATCAGTTTCTGAGCACAGAACCAAGAGTAAGCCCTGAGCACCACTGGGTGTGGCCCCCAAACAAAACAAAACAAAAAGGTGTACCATAAAATTTATCCCACGTAGGGTCTGAAGTCCTTAAGCAGAGCTATTAGCCCATATGCAACCACTTGCTCTGGCAATGGTTAGGATAGATAATGTGATGCTACTGGTTGGTAACTAACCACAGCCCTCAACGCGGTGAGAGCCCCTTCTCTGGAGAACCCCCATCCCTCCTACAACCCGCACACAGGCTCAATGCCTGACACGCTAGTAGGCTTTCAGGATTCTGTCTCCCTTATGTCTGAAGTTCTTTCTGTTCAGTCAGTATCTCTGTCATACCGGTTAAGTATTTTGAATTTTCGCCCTCTCCCCAAGCTCAAAGCACAAACAGATCTTCTTTTTTCTTTTCTTTCTTTTTTTTTTTTGTTTTTTGGGTCATACCCAGTGATACACAGGGGTTACTCCTGGCTCTGCACTCAGGAATCCTGGTCTCCTGGTGGTGCTCAGGGGACCATATGGGATGCTGGGGATCGAACCTGAGTCGGCCACCTGCAAGGCAAACGCCCTAACCGCTGGGCTATCGCTCCAGCCCCACAGACTCATTTTCATCAGCTGGGATATATGTGTTCTGTGGGGTAGGGGGAGACGGAGTGGAGCAAATGGGCTTCTCAGAGTTTTAGGCGCCTGCCTCTATTCCCTATTTGTCGACATGCCCATGTGGGGACGCTGCTTTCTGGCCAGCTCTGCAGAGATGGCCACACTGCTGGCTGGGCATTTAAAGAGCAAGCCAAAGCACGTCTCCGGGGTGGATGGTGTTCACTGTGGGGAGAAGGGGGTGCGGGGTAGAAGACAAAAGGGGGATGGTCATTCCAGGCAGTGGGCACTTGTGCAACATGAACTCTGCCACCTGGACATGGCGTTCCCTTGGTTTGCAGCACTTGGACAGGGACGAGGAACAGATGTGTCCACTGTCCTTGCCAGGTCATCATAACCTGGTTGCTCAAACTGGATCCATTTTTTTTCCCCTACAAAACGGGAGACTTCTTTCACACTGGCCCCGCTTGCCTGTTCTGCCAGAAAGGAGGGCACGGGCTTCACACTCTTGCCTGCAACTCCCTGGGTTGAGGAGTTGCGGCTCAAGTCTGTGCCGTGGACAGCAGGGGAGGGGACAGAAAGAGAAGGTGACCCGTATTACACTTCAGGTAGAGCCTGAGCCAAACCTATGCCCTGTGGTCTAAGCACTATGAACTTGATCTGCTGTTGTGGGCCTTGGTTTAAATATTGTCTCATGTTGGGGGGTGGGATGGTACACGGAGCATTTATATGCTAGACTCATTCCTATTCAGTCATCCAAGATAATCGAGGTACGTGCAGGTGTTTTTATTCTTTTTTTGCCTTGCACGAAGCCAACCCGGGTTCAGTTCCTCCACCCCTCTTGGAGAGCCTGGCAAGCTACAGAGTATCAGCACGGCAGATACTCAATATGCAGATACATATATTCCATATGCTAACAAGAGGTCTCACAATTTGTTGTGAGACATTACTGGTGCCCGCTGGAGCAAATCGATGAACAACGGGAGGGCAGTGCTACACTGCTAGTATTCTGGTGACGGCACACTCTCTTCTGCGAGGATGGGATGTTTAGCCCAGTGGGGAGCACCCCCAGAGGGGGTGGAGGCGGCTGCGGTGGCTGGCAGAGTCGCACCAGCGGGTGTGATGGCGCTTGCGGGTCACTAGAGGGCGCTCATGCGCAGCCTGCCCGGGCAGCCCTGTCCTGACTCCTGGCTAAAGTCTCATTCCGGACTGCCCACTGTCTGAAATTGGGTAATTAAGGATTGACGTGGTCATCTGGGTTTTCCAGCTGGCAGCAGGGGCCTGGCTGCTGAAGCCACAGCTCAGGAGTCATCCTTAGCTCCTTTCCACGCCTTTATTCCCGGAAACCTATGCCATCCTTCTAACTCCTTGGTTCTTCTAACTCCTTGGTATTTCTGCATCTACCCACTTCCCTCCATGTCCTCCGCCAAGTCCAAGGTCAGGGCCGTCTTGCCACCATCTCCTGACTGCCTCCTGTCCGTCCCTCCCCCAGCAGTCTGCAGGACACTTTTCGAATGAAACTCTGATCTCGCTCCTCGCCTAATATGAACCTTGCCAAGGCTTTCCTAGCAGGTCACGGTCACGGTCCTCCCGTTGTTCATCGATTTGCTCGAGCAGGCCCAGTAACGTCTCCATTGTGACACTTGTTACTGTGTTTGGCATATCGAATACGTCACGAGGAGCTTGCCAGGCTTTGCCATGCGGGCAAGATACTTCCGTAGCTTGCCGGGCTCTCCGAGAGGGGCGGAAGAAAAAACAAAATCTAAACTTCACAGAATGAAGTTTAGATTTGGGGGGCTTGTCTGTCACGTGCCCCAGGTCTCACCCAGTTTTCTTTCTCCGTGATATTCTCTTTATTTATTTATTTTTGGGTTTGGAGCCACACCCAGCTGTGCTCCTGGCTTGCTCCTGGCTCTGCACTCAGGGATCACTCTTGGTGGTGCTTGGGGGACTCTGGGGGGGGGGGGCTGGGGATGAAACCTGGGTGGGCTGTGTGTAAGCCAGGCGCCCTACCTGCTGTACTCTCTCCCCACCCCATCTCCCCTATTTTCTTATCTTTTCTCTCAGATTTAGCCTCCTTCCTTTGATTCTTTCTTGGGGGCGGGGGGGACACTTGCATTTCTTCTCAGGAACCATGCTTTTTTTTTTATTGCCTCCTCCTCTCTCATTTTTGCAGAGGAGTTGCTCCCCTCCAAAGATGAAGCTACTGGGGCTGGAGCGATAGCACAGCGGGTAGGGCGTTTGCCTTGCACACGGCCGACCTGGGTTCGATCCCCGGCATCCCATAGGGTCCCCCCCCCCCCCAAGCACGGCCAGAGCCAGGAATAACCCCTGAGCATCGCTGGGTGTGATACAAAAAGAAAAAGTAAAAAAAAAGAACAAAGATGAAGCTACCTCTCTTTTTCTGGCTGATTTCAGTTCATCCTTGAAGTCTTGGCCCAGGGGCCATTTCTGGGAACTTTTTCTGACGAGGTAAGAGGTGAAAGCTCTGGGATTCCCCCACAGAACTTCCTAGCCTGGAGCCCTGGTGAGCACTGCCAACCCTCCAGCGCCCAGTGCAATGCCTGGTGTTGGGGAAGGCTCTGACAAACATGCTGACTGAGTTGCACATCAACACAAAAGAGAATGGAAATTGACTCAGACATCTAAGGATTGCCTGTGGTGCCATTGGGGGAACTTGACCTGCTTTTTTTTTTTTTTTAATCTGGGAGGAAATATTTGAACAACCTGAAGCAAATCCAATAACACTGCCTCATTACGTTTTTTCCCTAGGAGCTGCCAGCAAGACTGCCTTGGAGTTAAATCCTTTAATTAAAATACCCCAAAGACTAAAACCTTTTGGTAGTGAAAGAAGGGCAGCCGCTGGGCCCGGGAAGAATGGCAGAGCTCAGGCTATCCCAGCATGAGGGCCTGTCGGGAGACAAAGCAGGTGCCCTGCAGCCTCAGGTCACTGGTGACTCACCTTGGCGGCCTGGAGATGGATGATGGTGGTTTGGTTCCAGGCGTCCTGCCTGTCCATGCCGGACTCCATCAGAGTTTGTAAATGATGCACGGAGTCCCTGATGAGCCTGAAGGCCAAAGGGAAACATAGGTCAGCTTCCTGACTGTGTTGGAAAGACAGTGGTGGGGTTTCGATCCAGGCTGCCTGCCGAGGGTCTCGCAGGAAGAGAAACGGCTCCCAGCTCCTGACCACCCCTGGGTTACAGAGCTTGAAAGACCTCATGTGTCTGGCCTCTCGAGGTAGGCCCACCTAGTTTACAGTGGGTGGAGCGAATAGTCTGGGGCACACAGCCAAGAAGCGGGCAGGCAGGTCCTAGCCCCCTGCCCTCGGCCGGCCAAGATGGCATCTGAGCCCTGTGTTTCCAGGCCAGGCTGTGACTGGCGGAGCCCAGCAAGAACAGCTGTTCTCCAAAGGCTCCTGAGCCGCCAGCATCCAGCTCTGCTCCTTCCACCCAAGGCCTTAAAGGAAAAGAAGAAAAGAGCACCCATGTTCTTCTAGCTCAATAAATTCGGTCAGTTTGCCACTTTATACTGTTTTTTGTTTTCTTGCTGTTCAGGGGCTATACCCGGCAGGTAAAGCCTTGGGGCTCACTATTGCGGTAAAGCCTTGGGGCTCTGTGCTCAGGGAGCACTCCTGGCTGTGCAGTGTAAGCTAGGAGTGCCTACCAAATGCAGTGATAGACTTTGAACTGGGACCAGCCCCATGCAACTCTTGGACTCTGTATGCAAAGTCAACTGGGGGAAGCATTGTTTATTTTGCTCTCTCCCAGGAGTAGATAAGCAGCTGTTACATAAAAGCAGTCCAGCAGCATTTTTATGGCCTCAGCAACCTTCTTCTGCCCTCCCGACCTTCCCTGAAGTGTCAGTTGTGTGAGGCCTGGCCTTACCATCACACTGGCTTATTGGTGGATCTCCCTGCCCAGCCCTGTCCCGGCATGGTACCGGTACTTAGGAAGAACTTGTGGGAAAAAAAAGCAAATATCCCACATTGCTCTTGATCTTGAAACAATGATTAGCCATCCCTGGGACAACTGACTGGCACACAAGACCTCTTCCATACTGAAAATATTTTTCTGCAAGTTGCTTTTGGTGTTTTAGTTGGGGAACAGCTCAGAAGGCTTTCGTTTTTAGGGTTGAATTTCTCCACCACGGGCCCAGGATGAAGCTCAGTGGTAGATCACTGGCCAGTAGAAAGCCCTGGCTCCGATCCCACACACACACACACACACACACACACACACACACACACACACACAGTGTTGAACCACCCCCTCTTGCCTGTGATGGCCTGAGTTTGCCTGTTAGAACAGGGTTTCTAGTCTGTCTCTGGCCATTCCCCGTGCACACTAGGTAGACGACAGTATTTGCTGACAGAATGGAAGAGTCTTGTACCTTGTTCCTGTTCTCCAGAGTCCTGTGGACCCTGGAAACAAACTAATTTCTGACTGCGACACCTTGACATAGTCAGACTGTATTTGTTTCACTTGGGCCACGGCCAGCTGTGCTCAGGGGACCCTGTGGTGGTGGTGGTGGTGGTGGGAAGGGGGCGGTAAAGTAAGAACTTTAGCACTTATTTCCCAGGCGCTGATGTAGTCATTTATATTTTTTAATTATTATTTTGGAGCGATAGCACAGTGGGTAGGGCATTAGCCTTGCACGCGGCTGACCTGGGTTCGATTCCTCGGTCCCTCTCGGAGAGCCCGGCAAGCTACCGAGAGTATCCCGCCCGCATGGCAGAGCCTGGCAAGCTCCCTGTAGCGTGGCGTATTCAATATGCCGAACACAGTGACAACAAGTCTCACAATGGAGACGTTACTGGTGCCCGCTCGAGCACATCGATCAACAACAGGAGGACAGTGCTACAGTGCTATTATTTTGTTTGTTTCTGAGTCACGCCTGGCATTTCTCAGGGGCTGTTCCCAGGGGACCATGAGGTACCAGAGACCAAACCCAAGCCTCCTGCCTGTTGGGCTATCTCTCTGGACCTGTAAGGTCTGATTTTTAAGAATTACTTTTACATTGTGGACAAATATTGCTTGATATGTATACATACCGCTGCAGAGCAGGACTCGCCTATGAATATCCTCTGTATTGGAAATTATAGTAAGAACCTAAAAAATTTTTAAAAATTCCTTTTTTTGAGGGGGTGGGGGGACTATCCCTGGCAGTGTCCGGAGCCACTCCTGGTGGTATGGGGGGGCAGGCGCTCAGCCCTTGGGATCAAACCCTGGGCTCTCTCCAACACAGCGTGTGCCCCAATCCTTTGAACCATCTCTCCAACCTTGAAAGTCCTTGTATACTGGCCTGGAGAATGACGCCTCCTCCTAGCTTGGCCAGGATGGTGATGGTGGCCCGCAACTTAGGGATCTGATTCCCCCCGTCTCTCTGCCCAGAGCGGCAGGAGCCGAGAGGCCTAAGGAGTCTGGGACCCGGGTGGGTATTTCAAAGACTGTCCACAGACTGTCCCAGCTGTCTCCCAAGACCCCCCATGGGAGAACAAATCATCCCAGCACTGGCTCACCTGGTTGCCACGTGTGCCCAGGCCTTGGTGTAGAACTCCGGACGGAGGAAGTCAGCTACCTTCTGGGCTGGACACCTGGGCAGGTCAGCTGAGGTCAGGTAGGCAACAGACTGAGGAAGAGACCTTTGCGATGTGGCGTCCCGGGATGTCTGAACCTGCAGGTAGATCTTCACCAGGAACCTGGGGGTGAGGGTGGAGGCAGGTGTGAGGGAGGGGGCCAGCCCAGGCCTCAGTCAGGCCCTCGCCTCATTCCGCCTGACCGTGGGTCACTCTTCAACCCAAAAGCCCCAGAGACAGCTGCTGGGAGGCCCTCAGGCAGGAGGGAGACAGGCGTATTTCCTTTCCCGGTCTGGGTGAGGGCTGGGCTGACATGCTCAGGTCCTGAACGTAATAAGCCCTTTTGATATCTGAGCAAACAACCCTTTCTGTGGGGTAGGATCTTGTGACTTGGGGATTTGTACTGAAAAGTTCAGCGGCTGCGGAAATCAAATTTTCTTAGCCGAGAAAAGACGGGTAGATGCAGAAATGCCAACACGAGTGGGTGGATTACAGGTGATTCAGCGTCTTAGGATAATCCCGAGTTTAGACGGCTCTGGGGCTCAGATGGTCTCCGGAGCCCCAGCTCTGAGGCCTGTGTGATGCTCCTGAAGCCGTTTCACCTCCCTCAGCCTCAGTTTCTCCATCCCAGCCGGCCCTGGTTGTCCTCCCCTGTAGGGCTTGTGAAAGCTGGGTGAGACTATTAAGGAGTCAGGCAGGCACTGGGCTCCAGGTAGAGCCCAGGTGTTAACAACAACCCCTCTTGGAATTTGAAGGGGAAAAAAAAATAAATCCAAGCCCAAAAATGATATTAGGGTTCAAGAAATGTTCCATAGTGTCCTTGCAGGTGAGCCCTCTCTTCCGGCATGAAGAAGCATTTGCCTGAGGATGGATGAATGTGAGGGTCCGAATCCAGAGAAGAGAGGCAAAGTGAGGAGCGGCCAACTCACCCTCTCCACCCTGCCCCTTGGGGTGCAGCCCCTGCCCTGGGGTACAGGGTGTGTGGATGCCCGGCACTCAAGGGCACTCCTACCACAGTGGGAGACTCCTACTGTGAGCGTCGCCCACTTGGCAGGAGGAGAAAGGGCTGCCGGCTCTGGGCGTGTGCCCGCGTCCTGCCCAGCAGGGTCATGAGAGCCACCCAAGAGCCAGCAGAGGAGCACGTGGACGGCTGCCACAGAGAGCAGGCGGCAGGGGCAGGGGCGGGGAGCAGGTGCAGGGGTGCCCTGGTAAGGGAGCAGCTGGCAGAAGGGAGCCCGGGCTGGAGTGTGGCAGGACGGGAGGGCGGGAGGGCAGTGCCAGGTCTGAAGGATCCAGAGGACAGGGCCACCGGGCAGGGTGTGACAGATGCCCGAGAGCAGCAGGAAAGTGTGAGTTCTTGGGGCTGGAGTGATAGCACAGTGGATAGGGCGTTTTCCTTGCACGTGGCTGATCTGGGTTCGATTCCCAGCATCCCATATGGTCCCCTGAGCACCGCCAGGAGTAATTCCTGAGTGCATGAGCCGGGAATAACCCCCCCCCCCCCGTGCATCGCCAGGTATGACCCAAAATGCAAAAAAAAAAAAGTGTGAGTTCTTAGGGTGAATGTCTGACAGATAAACAAGGGTCCATGGGAGAAGCAGCAGTGAAGAGGTCTTCTCTCGGCTTTGCAAAGCTCATTCTGGCTGTGTGTGGAAGGACTGATGTGGGGCAGGGAAGGAGGGGGAGGCACCCGGGAGAGCGGATGGGGCCTGGCTGGGAGCTGTGGTGTCCCCAGGGAGAGATTCCGAGGGAGCCTTAGCATCCGCGCCCCTTAGAACTCTGCTTCCGTCCCAGCGGGGGCCAGGCCCCGCCAGCCTTACCTGGCCAGCTGTAGGTAGAGCACCGTGTTCTCCCCCTCATAGGTGCAGGAGGCGGTCACTTTGGTGAGCAGTGTCGGCAGGCCGCTCAGCTTTGAGAAGCCGTGACCCCCGCAGGCCCGGCGGCACGCCTCCGTTCCCTGAGTGCAGAACTCTGACACGAAAGCCTTCACCCCCGAGCTCAGCGCATGGAGCTGCGAGAAGAAGCGGGGTGCGGGGGTGGGGGGAGCAGGGTGAAGGATCCCCAGTACCCACCAGGCTTACCCTCAGGGAGCCCCTACTCAGAGGATGGAGTCAGCTGGGCCGTGGGTATGGCCGGAACCAAAGTCTGGCCTCCCCCATGGGACACAGGAACTCAATGTCTAGATGGGCGGTGGGAGTGGGGGTGGGGTGGCGTGGGGAATAAGAAGACTGAGACTGAAGGTTTGCACCTCATCAGAGTCACACAGGTTGGGGGCTGGAGCATTAGCACAGCGGGTAGGGCGTTCGCCTTGCATGCAGTCGACCTGGGTTCGACTCCCAGCATCCCATATGGTCCCCCAAGCACTGCCAGGGGTACTTCCTGAGTGCAGAGCCAGGAGTAACCCCCGTGCATCACCGGGTGTGACCCAAAAAGCACTGTAGCACTGTCCTCCCACTGTTCACAGATTTGCATGAGTGGGCACCAGTAACATCTCCATTGTGAGACTTCTCGTTACTGTTTTTGGCATATCGAATATGTTACGGGGAGCGTGCCAGGCTCTGCCGTGCATGCAGGATATTCTCGGTAGCTTTCCGGGCTCTCCGAGAGGGGCAGAGGAATCGAACCCAGGTAGGCTGAGTGCAAGGCAAATGCACTACCTGCTGTTCTATCCCTCCAGCCTGACCCAAAAAGCAAAAAAAAAAAAAAAAGTCACGCAGGTACGCAGGTGGCTGGGCCAGGTAGCTGTAGGGGAAAGAAGAAGGAGGGACCTAGGAGGAGGGTGACCTTGGGGGGGTCCTCACTCAGTGCTCATTGCCTATTCGGGGTTAGGGTTTGGGCTGGCAAGCGGGCAGGGGCCGGGGAGTGGTGGTCGAGGCATCAATTCACTGCCCTGGCTCACAGGGGGGTCTGGCAGGCAGCTGACCAGATTGGGTCTTTGTTCTTGAAACCTCCCACAGACTTCAGACTTTCGAGTTCTGGGAGGAGGCACCTGTCCTCTCAGCCCTCAGAGCTCGCTCTCCCGCCTGCGGGAGCCAGGATGCGGATGGTACCCGCTGCACCCCGGGAAGGATGAGCTGGAGGAGTGAACAAAGCCACACCACAGCAGGGGCACAGGCAATCGGCGTGCGTGCCAGCCCAGGGTCTTTGATCTACAACGCCGGGGATCGGAGGTGTTCAGGAATCCGAATCGTGTTTTGAGTTTTAGACGGGTAAAGCAGGGCATCTGAGGTAGATTTTATATATATATATATATATATATATATATATATAATAGTACCTGTAGAGGAGT